GTGAAGATCCGCGGTAGAATGGGTCTTCAGCAACCCATGCTTGCCGTAAAAGGCGACTGTGCTTGTCGTAAAAGGCGACTAACGGGATCGGGTGGTCAGGCGCGCTGACTTGGCTGATGCATGTCATCGATCCCAATTGTGTTTATGATATTAATCACTGGTTAATTGTCTGGTCCAGACTCGATTATTTACAGACCGCCGTCATATAGCTGGACTATTGCTGAGTGCGGCGTTAAACAACAAACCAACCAACCAAAGATTCTTATTCTTGGCTCACCAGAGACATATCCGTGTAGGGTTTCACCATTCTGGTCACAGCGGCATTAAACTCAACTCATTCACTGTTACTACATTGTTCGCCTCCTATGAATGAAATGCCTATTGGCTGTTGACCGGACAACGTATTGTAAACTGTCAGGTACTTACACTGTCAACACATCATAACAAACACAAGCATCAAGTCTATGGCTTTTAGTGATCAGATTTGGAAAATCGTTAATTCAAAGTTTCTTATGAACTTTAACTGTGACCACATTGAAAAAACACAATCCGAAAAAATATCGGGCCATATGATATGCATTTTACTATTGTAAGTATCCAAACTCAGTTTGGATATTAGTCTTGAAGTATTAGAGCTTACTGATAAACAGTTAAAAATCACCAATTTGTTTTTTCATACCTTCAAAAGGCTTTAAAGTCATTATTAGGTTATTTGGATGTATTTTAGTGATACTGTCGAATGACTATTTCCAAGAGCTTTCTATATATCTATAACCCATGTACATGGTATGGTTTAAAAAAAAGGGCCACAGAGGGGTCCAAAAAGGCCAAATGAAGTGTGGTCGGAAATTACGTTTGAACCTGGCAAGGACGTGCAGAGGACAGGGATGTTTTCACTTATCTCAACAAAGAGGTTAACTAATAACAAAATTATCTGATACATATTAAGAAAAGTACTCGTACTCAAGGTGAGTGAGTGAGTGAGTGAGTATGGTTTTACGCCGCTCTTATAAATATTCCAGCAATATCACGGCGGGGAACACAAGAAAGGGGCTCCACACATTTTGCCCCTGTGGGGAATCGAAGCCGGGTCTTCAGCGTGACGATCGAACGCTTTAACCACAAGGCTACCCTACCGCCCCCGTACCCAAGGCGGAGTCGCGAGGATGTCTGTGTCTTGAATCCAATATTACACCGTATATTAACCAATCAACTGCGATACACCCTCACATTGGTTTTACATTCCTTCAATTTAATTCCAGGGTCGGGGCGGTGGAGTAGTCTTGTGGTTAAAGCGTTGGCTGGTCACGCCGAAGACCCGGGTTCGATTCCCAACAGTACAATGTGTGAAGCCCATTTCTGGTTGTCCCCCGGCGTTATATTGCTTGAACAAAGCTAAAATCGGGGTATAACCATAAAAAACTCACTCACTACTAATTCCAAGGTCAACTTATCCATTACTGGATCATTTTGAATCACCAAGCTGGAAGTCGGCCATGTATTTCAAAACAGCTGATTCATCGTCACTACATGAAGGGTCAAGTTCAATAGAAATGACAGGACTCGTCCTGTCTGTGTGTTGCGTATCAGATAGTAGCCATTGATCGATGCAAAGTTCAACGGTAGTAATATCAAATAGAGGTACACGTTGGATGACACACAGCCACGAATACTTTTTTTTATGACTTTTAAGCTTGTGATCTACTAGATATCTTGTTTTTGAGCGTCGCTTGCAAATCATCTCACGATATGTTATCTTCCTCATAAGTATTCACTTATATCAGTGAAGGGGTACAATTCAATCCAGACGGAGTCTCGTACCATACTCTGTGTTAAATATGTCAAGATAACGAATCTTGGGTCGACGGCTGCATGTCTACTGGCTTTTAAAGAATGGCACACAAGGGGATTGACCATATGGAAACTACTTTATCAAAAGTAAATATATTGAAATACTGATAAACTTTTATGGTAGACATGTGGAGGACATTTCCAAATTTGACGCACGAGTGACAAGAATGATGTCCGATGCAATTCCTTATTTTGACTTCTACAATTTCTTCCCGTATTTTTTTCAGATGAACAATTGACTTGCTTTTGCGGCTGGTATCATTAATATTTTAATAGTGATTCATAAACACATGCTCATGATGTAGTCGGAATCGTACAGTCGACTCTTGCATTTAACGTGTGTGATAACATAGATGTATTTATAGAAATTGCATGACACGAATTCTAAATTTACAACGTCAACGCCAGAGAACAACCAGTCTCGATTATATGATTAACAGATTCCATTGGGCGTAAAAGGCCAATTCATGGAAATCATATGAAAGGCTCACTGAAAATCATGATGACACCAGGTGTTCGTAAAAAGGTGAAGCATGTCCTGCCCAACCGGTAGCTACCAGCAAATGTGCAACCACAAAATATGCATAAAAAGTATGTGCTTGTTGCCTGTATCACACAGCAGTACTCCTGTCATGTACGGCGTCATTTAAACACACCAGGCAATCAAGTGATGGACCAGAAATCCAGTTTGGACCAGAAATCCAGTTTAGAACTGAAAACGATATCTTAATTTTAGATGTCGACTGCTGTGTACAAGTGCAGAGTTTGTGCTGCTTATAAGTAAAGAAACAACCAGACGCCTATGTGATACCTTTTTACCACCTAACTAACTCAATCATACTTTTATCCATCCCACCAACAGACTTCTCTCCCACTCCTTCCCATTTCTGTCTTTCAACTTAAACAGGAACTTGCTCACGCCTACCATTCACGCAATCCTGACACAAATTCATTCACTGAATCACAAAGCTCCTCTCTGACTGGTTCCTCCTGATGTCGCCCAATCCTAAATGCGTCTGATGCTGATGTACTTGTATTACATCGAGCAGTGTTAGCTGTGACGACAGTCGCTTTCCGGCTCTGTTGCGTGTACTTGTCAAGCAGAGGCGCATGGTATCCGATTTGATGGCGAAATCCGAGATGAATCAATACAGGCAGTGGACAGAGGCCACACATCGCAGGCCTGCCAGGAAAATGCAGTTCCTAAAGCAAATTACTACTTAGAGGGAAACGTAACGATTACTAAAAACTTCGAAGGCGGGATTTTAGTTCTCAATGTAATGCCAAGAATTTGAAAAAACGCCTTCTGAATCCTCATCACAAAGTCTCTTTTTAGAAGCTGTTTTTAAGTCGCATGAAGAAGCAGTGGTATCGCTTTAAGGTAGTTATCGAGTTTTTGTGCTGTTTTTGAGAGGTTCGTGTAAATATCAAACGTTAATGTCAGATAATAATCTGTCACGATTTTTTGCCGAAACATATGCCATTGGGCGTAGAGGCAAATTATATAAAGGGATCACTGAAAACTAGTGATGACACCAGGTGTTTGCGAAAAAGGGTAAGCATGTCCTGTTCTACCGGTAGCAGCAGCCGCCAGTGTTTGTTTGGTGCCTGACGCTGCGCAACAACGCTCCTGCCATACGCAGGCGGCCTGTAACAACCGAGGCTTGACCAGACAACAAATGCACAACGCCCTGCACTGTTAATCAATAAATCGTTTGTTTTGCGGACGTGTGTGGACTGGGGATTGTCAAACACATTTCTATATAGTACTAGCTATATGGGGTTAACTCATGAGACCCACAAGATGATTAACTAACCATCCTCATGACACACGGCGTAATTCGATAATGCCCCTTATCAAATAATGGATAGTGTTATCGATGTGTATTGCCAATCCAATAAACTTGGTATCATAATCCGTTAGATATGTAAAGGAAGTGTCCAAAAACTAGTCCAGTCACGGTCTCGTGACCGCACCGTTTCCCTCTTCCCTTGATTCTCCGGCTTCCGTCACAATTCGGCAAAGTCCGGCGGTCGTCCTGGTCCAGTGACTTCACGTTCTTTGTTAGAGTATTAGTAACCAGTAAATCTTATTCTCAAGCAGTTTAATCTCATACTTTTATAATGTATTGATTTCATGTATGTTATTCAAATACGTGTGCTACCTTATTCACGCAGGGAAAATGTTTTAGTAACTTTGAGACCTCGCTTTCTCGTCCATAATTACGGCCGCGAGAAAGAGATAAAACGATAATAAACCTACTGGAAGGCAATAAATCCTCTGTTTTTTTAAACAATTAGCCGATATGAAAACAGATTAAATCCGATTTACCACAAATTAAGCTGAACACATAAACCTTTATTTGATAAATCAATGTTTACAGCGATTTTCTGAACAGTTCTGCTGTTTGTGTGTTTATTTAATGGACAATTATGGGAAAGGTGTATCCATGTGTTACGCTTTGAATGCTGTTGGGCGTATAAGCCTAAATAGATACGATTACCTGACAGTGTACTTACTGTGGGATTCAACATCCATCACGTCTAAGGGTCATATACATGTTAGAAATAACCAACAGTCATGTTTCTGTGCCTTTTACTCCTTAGATTGCTGAATTATTTGGCAGATCTAGAGCGTTATGAAGTTAAGTGCAACAGTTAACTAATTAGTTGAAGTTTTATTGTTTTTTAAAAAAAATCCTAAATTATGATTAACGTCTGTCTCCTAAAATCTATTTGATTTTTATAAACTTTAATTAAATCTATAACATTTACCTATTTTTACAATTTTGTAAAGCTATTTCTTAATAATCATCTCTAAAGATCATTACATCTTAGAAAATGTCAGTCCATTCGTCTTAAACCTATATAAAACAATCACACAAAGGTCCATAAAATATTTGCTTTGGATTTTCACGATTTAACATGGTTTGAGTTTTTTAATAATCATTAATATAAATACCACCGGAATTTTACATCCCAAAATGATCATCTAAATTGAGTTTATCGTGAATTGAATTTTTGACATTCAAATCAACAAACCATCAGATAAATGGCGTTTGAGGTACGAAAATGCATCAAAGGAAGAATGTGATATAAGCATATCAAAATAAGTTATTTTACTACATTTCATTTTTCTTCGTGTTCAGGTACTTTGCAGAGCTCACATTAGATCGCCACACGATCTGGCATCGGCTATAGAAAGCGGATTGCGCAACCCTCAACACAACAGCTTGAATAAAATGTTTTCGTAAGTAAATGTAAAAATATTTAATTTCAAAGTAAATAAAAATAACAACGTGTTCGTTGAAATGTGGCCCCGATTGATGTCACTGATGAGGTCATCGCACGCACATACATATCAATGTAAATGGCATTACCTTTCAGTTGACAGTTGCTCGATGTACAGTTATACATACATAGTTTTATATATCAGCGATGAAAACTGAGCTGATAATATCAGGAATCCCGTCGGGTGGTACTGATTTCCGTTCCAAGGAGTACGGATCTCGATTCAGTTTTGTTCCATTTTTTTAACCGACAAAAGTATTTATTAAAACAGTATTCCCGATTAATTTTCAGATAAGATCTGAAGTATTTATTACGATTTTGGCATCAATGGGTTTTCTTCATCATCTTAAAAAATCACGCGACTCAATGGTTTGTTTACGCTATGCAATCAGCTTGAAGTTATAAGATTCCATACTTGACCGGCGCCCGTGAAGATCTGGGAAGAGAATAGATCTTCATGCTTGCCGTTATGGGCGACTATGCTTGTCGTAAGAGGCGACTAACGGGATCAGGTTGTGATCAGGCTCGCTGACTTGGTTGAAGCATGTCATCGTAATCCAATTGCGTAGATCGATGCAAATTGATGTCAATCATTGGATTGTCTGGTCCAGACTCGATTATTTACAGACCGTCGTCATAAAGCTGGAACATTGATGAGTGCGGCGCTAAACAACAACAACAACAACAACAACAACAAAAGAATGCATGACAGGCAGGCTTACCATCGTAGCTACTCGAGGAGTACGCTGTTTTCAATTAATGAAATCCATAGACATTTTGACGAAGCCTCAAAGATCAGTTCTAAAGGACTTTGCAGCGGCATTGAAAGTACATGTAATTAAAAGTATGTTTCGTTTACCAGTTGAAACGTAACTAATGTTTTGAATGCGAAATCTCGCGCGAACTATGGGTTAATGTCAAAATATCTCCACATCCAGTTTTCGACTCGATATATGCAAACTACCAGAAACGCATATCCGACATTTTCGAGTCTTAAATGTATCAATATGTGCTGACACATTAAAACCGCATAATCAACTTTAAATCTGAGGCCAAGAAAACATTATATTTAATATGAAATATTAACTCGCATGACAAAGATTGATGATGGTGTGACAAACTGACATTGTCTCATGCCTGAACACACAGAAAAAAATAAATTGATTTGTATGACGTTAACGGAAGAGAATAATCAGTCCTGATTATCCGCCAAAACAGATTCCATTGTGCGTAAAGGCAAAATGGCTGTAAAAAATGTATGAATAATGCACTGAAATGACACCAGATGTTCACAAAAATGGTAAGCTCGTCCTGCACTACTGGTAGTAGACACAACTCGCACAATGTGCATAAAAAGTCAGTGTTTGTTTATTGCCGTACAGCAGTCCCCCTGCCATACAACGACGGCCTGTAAACAATCGAGCCTTGACAAGACAATCAAGTGAGGACCAGACAATCCAGTAAATACCAACCCTTAGAGCCATCACTCTTTCCAAAGAATGGGTTCAGACCCTCTACATACATATGAAATCAAATAGATTTTGTTTTTCATTTCGAAACCGACAATCCGTTGTACATTTCTTTGCAGATGTGCATTCTGGCGACTAAATCAAGTAGATACAAAGGTAGTTACAAACATTGAATTACAGCGTTAAATTGTTAAGTAGCCGCTTGAGAGGTTCATTGTGAATAACCATGTCTCCAGATACCCAATGACGTCAGTCTCCTACCAAATAACAATGGAACTGTTTTATTGATAGTCTCGTGTAATTTATATTCCTGACTTCCCATCGGATAAGAGCAGGGTAGGTTAGTATTTACGTAAGAGAGCTTTTGATGAATAGAAAAAAGGGGAGCGTCACATACATTTTTTACAATCATTAGACTGTACATTGAGGTTCTAGACCTTCCCTGTGATAACCGATTTGGCATATGGCCTGTGTGCATGCACGACTCACTCGCTCACCGGGTGGCCCATTCGTCAAAGGCGCCGCAATTCGCAGTGCAGAGTTGCGTCCCTTGGGCATGCCAGAAACCTGTGATTGTGGGTTCGAATCCCGGTTCGCCCCGATTATGTTTCTAGGTTTGTCAGCACCATACCCGCGGACGTGCCTCGTGGGTTACAAAAGGACACGAATAAATCCACAATAAAGAATCGAAAGGAAAGATATGATTTATCTTTATGGAATCAAAATGCGCACACCTGAACCCAAAATGCTAAGAATATACTTAAGTTGTAGGAGGCAGCCAATCCCCTTTTGTTGGATGTCGGGGGTCTTTTAAATTAGAGTGTACTTGTTCTCAGTGTGGTCGATTCAACATTTAAAAGAATATGTTGAACGTTAAACATCCTTTGTAGGATCAGTATAATTGATTTCGTCGATATTTTCCCCGTAATTTAACCCCAAATTGTGCCCTCTCTCGATGAATTGTTTGATAGGCATCACTTAGATGTTGACCAATGAAGAAACAATTTATGGATAACAACTTCTTTAATACTGTAAAAGCGACGTTTCCGTATAGATCCTTATATCATTGTCAAACAAGTGATGCTTTTGATATTTGTGTAGTATTCGGGTTTCGGGGGTGAGCAATGAGAGCGCAAAATTAGATAGTATTCGGGATTCCAGGAAGTGGGGGAGTGGTTGCACACTCTTGAAGAGGAAGACCAGCACAACTCACTGGAAAGAGTAATTAAATGAATCACATTAAGGCACATGACAGTTATGCGGACATTGATTTGTTATCTTTGTTTGTTTGAGAGAAGCCCTTTATACCCTAAGTGTTCCAAATATAGTTTCGTTATCATTTACCACACGGTAAGGAGATAACAAGGAGATTAAAGTCTAAAATTATACAAATGATAGGGGAAGGATGAGACCTCCTTGTTGTCGTGCCTACTGTGACCCGGCTTAAGCTACTGCACACTGCACCGCTCACAACTCAAGTAAAATACACTCTATCGCGGTCGTGTGAGCAAGGTAAGCTGTCTAAAGAATGTATTTTGTTAGTTTATCATCTTTGTTGGACATTCGTCCATTTGTTAACAAACGCTTTTCTAAGCATAACATATTATTGATAATCACCAAACCATGTATTATCAAGTCATGCATAATTGTTTAGCACATTACGCTATTGGTTTGTTAAGTGTATTTCTGAAACATATTGGTATGATTTTGTTTCAATGATTCCCAATGATTTTGTTTCAATTCATAATTTTAATCTTTGTTCTGGCATCATTTGAATATTAATGTTCATAATATTTCGTAAATAAGACATATGATACATTTTAGGATACCTCAACATGTTTTTTATTCCGGAACAGTTATATACACACAAGTACGCGTTTCTCAAAATACTGAGGGTGTATGTTCCAATTTCGATTGATGGTAAACAGTCCTAAGTTTATACTAAACTTCACCACACTTTTGTTGATATACACCGGCTGAAACAATGTTAAACTGTTCATTTCAATCATACATTCATGATCCGTTTCAAGGTTTATCATGTTATTAATTTTCCTGATACCCCCCCCCCCCCCCCCCCCCCCCCCCCCCCCCCCTTTCAGATAAGGTTAGGGTGAGTTAGGGTACACACACACACACACACACACACACACACACACACACACACACACACACACACACACACACACACACACACGCACACGCACAAGCACACACACACACATGCACAAACACACACAGAGACACAGAGACACGCTCTCTCACAAATACAGAAACACATACGCACACACACACAAGTCGTTTTTAGGGGGTTATGAAAGGGGATATATAATGAAAATAATAAATGTGTTACGATCATCTCAAAATATATAAACAAAAGTAAAAACTATACATTTCCTATAATTAACCCGTTCTAAAAGAGACATCCTTAAATTTCGTTCTGTTATTGTAGACAGGGACGTTATTTTCGTCCCCTCTATTCATAACATTGTGCTATCTTTTCCCCTAATGATAACAGGTTGGACCTCTGATACCTTAGTACAAATAGGTCGTTTGACTTTGAACTGAGATTTGTTTGAGGTTAGAATATATTGTTTTTTCTTAACTTGTATAAATCTAGACAAATAGTTAATATCCTGTTCGTTATAAGCAAGTTCACAGCAAAAACGTCAACATGTTAGTTCTACAAAACCTGGAAATATTTCATTATAAAACGAATATGGACTTATACTTATTGTCTGTTAGAAATTCTGACTTATTTGTTTCAGATTTTCCCTGTTTTGTCTGAGGGTTCTTGTCATCAGCGAAGGCTACAACTAGGCTGGTTCACATCGAAGCTCAGTTTTGATACGGTGACGGAGCGCACATACTGTTAATTTCTACTGACATATTCGTTGAACAGAGGACTGACTCTTGTTTGTTAACCCATCGAATGAATATATCAAACTGACCACTGGCCATTTAACTGCACAGGATTTCCCCCTCATCCAATCAGCTGCCACTGTTTAGATATGCGTGATCAAGTCATGGCGTGTTTTGGAGGTTGTGTAGACGACACGAATCCATTCTATCCCACTGCCGAGGAACACAAAGAAGCGCGCCTTCGCGACAAACAGTTGACCAAGATGTTGTCAAAATACCACAAAGATGAAATGAAGAGACTAAAGCTTCTTATGCTTGGTAAGGTTTTTCACATTCAAACATAACCCAGACACAAAGACCATACTGTGCATAGAGTTACTGATATCCATCTTTTCAATTTTCAATTCAAACAGCTTTTCGTTCAAAGCATCGCGTTAAGTTTACTTTCGAAATCAAACTTGAAATGTCTGTTGGTTTTGTTTCTTGTTTAACGCCGCGCACAGCACTATTTCAGATATATGACGGCAGTCTGTATGTAATCGATTCTGTCTGGACCACACAATCCAGTGATTGATATCATGAACATCGATCCACGCAATTGGCCATGGGATATTTACTTGAGAACTGTTTGTAGAAACTGATAATGCTTGTCATCAGATAATAGTACACCACCAGTCGATACCAATTCACTTCATTGTAAAATCATATTCGTTAAATATTAAATTTGCAATGAAACTAAAAGCAAATGTATAGACGCCAGTTCAACTGTCCGGAACCTGTTAATCCGGATAAACAAGAGTCCGGAATATCGAATCATAGATACGGATAACGTGCCGTATATACATATAAGGGTCCGAAGGAGTAATCACCAAGAAGCTGGGGGTTCCGTATACACGGGATTAACTGTATGTGCGCGCTTCCGTTTACACTGCTTTGTAAATAGACTCAACACACTCAAGCAGAATTCTCCTAGCAAATGTTCTGCGATAATAAATCACTGAACTGCATTAAACTGATTCCAGAGACGTTAGCCTTATGCAAACACTCCAGGTTGCCCCACATCCAAAGGGTTGTCAAGAAACGTTGCCCAATAATTGACCCTCTGAAGTTTGGATTAATAAATAACTCGCCCACCTTATATGTTCACAGCAACGAGCAGTTAACTGCATCTTGATATATTTATGATGTACTTTAGAAGCCACAAATAAATGTCCTTATTCAACCATGAGTCATGAACTCGAGCTGTTTATTATTCGCGATAGAATGTTTGTAGTTTCAGATGTGTTTTTATTACACGTTTTATGATATCTTTCATTCATCTATGAAACATTTAGAGAAGCATACGGATAAATAAAACTACTTGACATATGTGCGTATGAAATCAATTTAACGCTTAGGTTAACTCGAGTGTGATTACAATGACATATTAAATTCTTGTTTCAAGTTTCATCAATCGCAATATGGCTGCAATATTGCCGATGCGATGTAAAATTATAACTCACTCACTCAAGTTTCATCATATTTATGTTGTGTATGCAAAACAATGGATGTATTTAACGTCTTCATCAAAGAGCAATACCCTCTGAATCCACATCCTTGTTTATCTACGAATGTCAGATACAATATATGTCAACGTGTGTATATGTTAATACAACAATTGTTTACGTTATGATACTTACATTTTTTAATAGTTCAGATAAACATTTGTGACAGTTTTTCTTTGAATTTCCAGGAACTGGCGAATCCGGGAAAAGTACAATCACGAAACAAATGAGAATTATTCATATCAATGGTTTTGACAACAGGTGAGCATAAACCCCTGGTTACATCAAATCTTCTACATAAAACAAGTCAACACTCCTCTTACTGTGTCCTAGAAGATACTTGCTTAAACGATTTATCCCACATAACAACAGATACTGTCTTCACATGTTTACAACGGTCTGTGTCTCCGGTGTTCACAATTATTCGTTTTATTCAGGTAATTATGGTATATTTGTTTCTTTTAGGGAGAGAATGTCAAAAATAGTTGACATCAAGAGGAATATCAGGGACTCCATTTTGGTATGTACAACACTATTTTTATCCCATGACTAATTGAAACATATTTTGTTCACAAAATGAACAAGTACCACATCTCATACTCATACCATACAGTAATGAGATTGACAGAACCTGCTCATTGCATAATACAGCTTAGAATGACATTTCCATTTTATTTCGTCAAAATAGTGTGTATCACTTCCAAATGCCTCTCCAGCTATTCCAGTAATCGAGTTACATAACGACAGGTCAGCTCGTGGGCGGAAAACCCGAAATGATGCAGGTCTTGGACGTTTAACAAGTGCATCATGTACACTTAGAAACATATTTTGGGAGAACCTTGGTTTTCTGACACGCTTTGGGAAATTCATGCATTATTTCTTTTATGAAATGAATTCAACAAAGCCCTCTTTTCAGAGGAAATTTTCTTTTATGAAATGAAAACTTATTTTATATATTGCAGGCAGTACTAATGGCTATGCCACAATTGGATATATCTTTACATGACGAAGAAAACCAGAAGAGTGTTGATCTGCTGTTGGAGGAGGCACAGGATGCAGATAGGCCGGTTTCACACGTGAGTAGACTGTTTTCTTTGTCTCACTTCAGTGACTGACATAATGAGCATCGACCAACGCAATTAGGACACCAACCAAGACAGCGAGCCTGACCACTCGATAGTTGCCCCTAACGACACGTATAGGGTACTGGGCACTTTTATTATTTCCCGGAATGCCCACACTCTATATGTGGAATTGATAAAGTAACACACCAGTATGGAGGTTTGAATTTTGTTTCCAGGACTTCCTGACACACACAGAACGGCTGTGGAGAGACAAGGGGGTCCAGGAAAGCTACAGCCGTTGTAACGAATACCAGTTGTTGGACTGTGCAAAATAGTGAGTGAAGTTTAAATACATTGCTTCTTATTTTCGTTTTGTGAACTAATATGTTCACGTATAATTTTCAACGGGTCAAAATAAAATTTACCCCATGTATTTCATTTATAAGCAGGAATAATACGATTGGTTGTTGATCATTAAAACATAACATTTATAACGGTACACAGAATACTTCTGAGGATGCCTGAGGATGTTCATACAACATTTATTAACTTATACTTTCAGTTTTTTAGACAAAGTCAACGAAATACGCAGTCCTGATTACCTCCCTTCTGATCAGGTGAGTTAATAAAGTACATGCTTTATTACTGACGGGGACACGAGTACATTGTAGCTCATTGTGTATGGTAACCAATGCAGTTGCAGTGTTGCGTCCATTTACGTGTAGTATTTCCGCTTGTACTTTGTTAGCACCAACCCGCGCTCATTTGCTTTTATCATAGTGGAAACAAATATAAACGTCAGTGCGTGCGTGCGTGCGTGCGTGCGTGCGTGCGTGCGTGCGTGCGTGCGTGCGTGAGACGCCTACTTTAAAAGTATTTCATTAATATATCTCTATATTTTCTTACTGTAACGACGATAAATACATTATTAACAACTAAATATACTCAGTGTAATTCATTCAATGTTCTCAAACTATTTGGGGCGGTCGGGTAGCCTAGTGGTTAAAGCGTTCGATCGTCACGCCGAAGACCCGGGTTCCAATCCCAACATGGGTACAATGTGTGAAGCCCATTTCTGGTGTCCCCCGCCGTGATATTGCTGGAATATTGCTAAAAGCGGCGTAAAACCAAACTCACTCACTCACTCCTTCACTCAAACTATTTGATTTCACAGTGCATTGTCATTAATAGCGTGTTTGTTTTGCATTCAAGTGCTGTACTATTTACTAAACCTTGTTTATCTGCTCCAGGATATCCTCCGCTGTCGTGTTGTCACAACATGCATACAGCACATAGACTTTGCAGTTAACGATTCGGGACAACAAGTTCAGTTCAGGTATGGCCCTTTTACTGTTTATATTTTACAAAGAAGGGAAATATATTTCATTTTCAGTGTTTCATTACCATATACATAGTTTGATTTGGGGTATTCATATTTTAATATAGATTCAGCGTATATGTAGTCAAAGGACAGTTGGGTGGCCTTGTGGTTAATGCGTTCGCTCGTTACACTGAAACCTGGTTCGATTTCCTCATGAATACATGGGTTGCTAAAGAAGCGTACCATCATGTTCTCTCACTCACTATATAGTCGAAATAGCTCATGTGATACTTTAAGTTGACTATGAAATCGTAATGACGCTCTATTCTATATGTTGGGGCGGTCGGATAGCCTAGTGGTTAAAGCGTTCGCTCGTCACGCCGAAGACCCAGGTTCTATTCCCGACATGGGTACAATGTGTGAAACCCCTTTCTGGTGTCCCCCTTCGTGATATTGCTAGAATATTGCTAAAAGCTTCGTAAAACCATACTCACGCACTTTCCTATATGTTACAGTGTTTACGACGTTGGGGGGCAGCGAGGAGAGAGGAAGAAGTGGATTCAGATGTTCGACAGTGTCGTTGCCAACGTCTTTGTAGCCGACGTCAGCAGTTTTGACGTTACGTTGAGGGAAGATCCGGAGAAGAACAGATTGTTGGAGGCGCTGGAGATCTTTGAACAGGTCTGGAACAATAGGTAAGTGAGAATTGGAACTGTGTTCGTTGGTGATAATAATCGAGTCTGGACTAGACATTCCCGTTATTGATATTATGAGCAAAGATCCAGACGTTGCGTATTTTTTATATAAAAAGAAATGCTTGATAATTTCATTAGTTTATAGACATGATGGAAATGAATTCATTGATAGGTAAATAGTTTACACAACAATTTGCAATTAAGTCTTTGAATTGTATTTGGAAGTGATACACATAAGGAAGAGAATTTATGGAAGTCAACTTCTTTATTATGAGGAACACAAACGTTTCGGGGTGCATACACATAATTAAGAAGTTGACATCCGTAAATTCTCTTTCTTATTTGCAATTAGTTTACATAGGGGATTGTTACGTGTGTTGGTACGTATTCGTATTATTGTTAATAAATACGATGGCATTAAATCACGTGTGTGTACAAAAGGTGTATAGTCTAAACAATTACCTTGCCTTGTTGGTGTCCGTCAAGGAGAAAATTTGTCCCCGACATTGTTTCATTGTTTCTCGATGATCTGGAAAATTTTTTATATTCTCAAAACTGCCAAAGTACATTTATTCAATCTAACTCACTTATTGGTCTGTTTTGTTCGCATTACTATATGCAGAGGATACTGTTTTGTTTTTAATCATTCAAATTTACAAAATATGTTCGATCTTTTCACTTTGCTGTAAAAGTTGCATGTCAATTCTAATAAAACAACAAATGTAGGTTTTTATGGTACAAAAAGAGACAAGAGTAAACATATATTATTAAACAGCTCACCAATCGAATATGTTAACGATTATAAATATCTTGGAATTCACTTTACAAACAATAACGTTTTCAAAACCTCTATGAAAATAATTGTGAATCTGCCACTTAGGCCATACCGAATTTACTTATATTGTTTCTAGTTGGACATTTTCAAGATTCTGTATAAGCACTCAAGCACATCTTTATATTTCAGGTTTCTGAGGCACGTTTCTTGTCTTCTGTTCTTGAACAAAATCGACATTTTGGCGGAAAAATTATCCCGCAACCACACACCCCTTGAACTCACAAGCAAATATCCGCATGTATTTCCAGACTATGAAAAATTCGAACCTACAGGTAAGTTAAAGTGTTGGATGCTGTTGGTTGGTATAATTTTAATCTCATCTATAAAAACAACAACTTGTCAGTTTTGAAAATATAAAGGTAATCATGCAATCTAAATATGACCTGCCCTACAATTCTACTCGTTTTATCCTATATTGTCGTTATTGTTCTGTCATATGATATCAATTCTCACTCTTCACCATTTCCTATATCGGGACGGTTGTTTGCGTGGTGGTTCGTCACGCCGAAAGGTCGGGTTCGGTTCCCAGCGTGTGAAGCCATTTTCTTGTGCCTCCCTCCCTTTTATTGCAGGAATATCGCTTAAAGCGGCGTAAAACCCAACTTCCTCACCCATTTGTCTCATCGATCCATTTCGCCAAACTACAATCAAACGATGGTGACTTACCATACTTATTATACTACTTTTTTTTTCAGCCAATGAAAGACTGGACTTTATTAACTCTTTCCCAGGCAATGACGAAGTACCGAAAAAAAGGAGCAAGAAAACGTCTCGTACTGACGTCGACCCAGGCACCATCAAAGCAGCAGTGTATATCCGCAACATTTTCATGGTGAGTGGACGTCTATTTTACAAATATATATTAATGACGAAATACTTAAACATAGTGTCATTTATGATGAAGGGTAAGAGGTTCGAAAAGTTACAATAGACAGGTGAGTATCTGTGAGTTGTTTGGGTCAAAGTTTGTTTGAGCTGTATGCTACTCAAAATAAGTTAAATAAGACTCGGATTCTTTCATATTACTATAGCTAATCTATCCTCCCATGACAGATTAACTATAGTAATATGAAAGAATCGGGTTTTCTTTTGCGTACTATATATCAGGGCGCGTTGGCCTAATGTGGAAGGAAAGCTCCAACATGAGGCAGTCCGTTGGCGTTAACAATTTTAGGGAACCCATGAGTAAGATTAGGGTTTTAATACGTGATCGATCATTTTTAGAGTAAATCTTCTTTAAATCCAAGACTTTTGAAGATCCTTGAAGTTTTTAAAAAGCAATTGTGTGAAGCATCACAGTGCCTGCTCTCTTAAAACAAATCATAAAATGAACGAAATTGGTATAACGATATGCAAGAAATTACATTCAAAGGTTGATGAAGTCTCCGGCAGCAAACCATTGTGGGTTGAACACGCACATAGTTATCTCCCCTGTTGTGGCTATATTAATGTCGTCAAGCCATCAGGTGATAACTGGCTTAGGCTTGTATCAATGAGCACGTGTATAAGCGTCTGCCACATTTCGTCGCGTGTTGGTTATGCATGTGAATGCTGATTAAATACAGGGATGCTTTACCTTATGAAGTACAGGTCATGTGTCTACAAATCTTCTTATGTGTGCGATCTGCTGACACACGTGAATGCAACGTTCCTAGCTTTCCGGTCACGTAAGGACGAACAGAAAGTATACTGTGTAGGATTAATGAACATATTTTGTTATTGTACGGACACGTACAGCTTACTCTCTATGGTGATTACTTTACCTGCCTGCGAGCTTTAAGAAGACGTGTAACAGAAGCTTTGAAAGGAAATCGATAATCTTTACATATCGTGCACAAATGAAATCAATCTACGCTTTGTATCACCAACAGCTTCAACACGAAGAAACGTTTTAGAACGGAGAATAAAACAGTGATTGTTCTTTCAATACTGACAGGCGATACCCTCAAAGCAAGCCATGCTCATCAGTTTCGCGAACACCAGGTATCATCACTATAATGTACACATTAACATGGTTGTTGTAGTACATTTCGTGCCTCGTGTGATTAATTAAGAAGAAAGCATTTTTGACAAAAGAATCGACATTTTCCAATGGCCAAATGGATGAACAATTTATTCGAAACACTAAAATGGATTTTACACACATAAATGGCTATTTTTCCATTTGAGTTCCATGAATGTTCTGATTCAGTGTTCGCTCAGTGTTCGGGGGACCAGACGAATTTGCCCTGTTATCCATACTTTCAGACAAGAATAATATTTAGAATAAAGGTCGATAAAGATTCTCTAGGGATCATGAAATTCTGCACAAGGAAAATGTTTTTTCTGAAAAAAAGATGTTTCGCTCTAAATGAGAAATGTAATGTATTTGCTGGTTATAGTTCATGATGGACGTTTAGTCATTTTCTAACGTTCATGGGACGCGGGTGGCCCAGTCGTTTAAGGCACCGCATTTCGCTGTGCAGAGTTGCGTCCCCAGGGCGCGTCAGAAACTTATCATTTTGGATTCGAATCCCGTTTCGATTATGTTTCTATTTTTGTCAGCACCATACCCGTGCTCATGTTTTTCACCAAAGTAGTAAACGTCTAAGACCTGCATCACTTAGGGCTTTCATCCAACATCATATTGGCACGCCGTTTTGTAACTAGAATACTGTTGAAAGCGGCATAAAAACTCACTCACTCACTCACTATAACGTTCATAAATCTTCTTGTTCTGAACTCAGTATTTTCTATTCTAGAGAATCGTAACGGGGGACCTGAAGTTACGCCAATGTCTTCAAGACCAAGATCCAGACTGGCACCAGTTCCATACCTGCCAGTACTACTACACATGTGCCGTCGATACAAAAAACATCACAAAGGTCCTCGAGGGTTGTCGTTCTTTGATCATACGGAAGCACCTGGAGCGGTTTGGTATCATATAGACTCCACGCACAGGAGATTACCCATCACCTACACTAAAAGCTCTTAACTCATGGACATCATCGAACACCTATCGAGTTATACGGTGTTCAAGACAAGCGGATTGTACGATAAAGACCATATTGGGTCCATAAGATCACCATCTTTAATGATGTATTATTAAAGTTCAAGATACCCAGGTATTGTACAACGTACTGCCTTTATTCAAGTAACCCATACATATCTGCATATGTCGAAGTTGTGCATATGCTTTGACCATTCAGTCAACAAACACGTGGAACATGTGACTGAAACGAAACGACTTTCAAGTGATAAATCCAGTCAGTGTGGCAAAAGATGAACACTTGACAGACTATTAGTATCCTGATGGATGACGGATGTGGATGTGGATGTGAGATGACAAACGTACGCGTCAGATGCTCAGGCCTAATTGTACTTTGAACCGAAAGGCCTCATCATACACGTTTAAACGACATTAATGGTATGGTGTCATCAATCGCTTCGTCATGGACAAATCAACTCCATGTCATCATGACGTCATCATGTGCTTGAGTGATATCACGAACTACGTCATGAACCTTGTATAGATCTGACAATACTGCCGCTACTATCGAAGTAACGCAGTTGACTCGTCTTTCAAAAAGAGAATACTATTGTTTGTTATCCTAGTGTGACTTTGATAATGCAACCGTGACTATTGTATATAATCAAAGGCTGTGAAATTGTGCATAGGAATCTGACAATTTGATGTAGATGTTTTTCCTATCACCACGATCCGGAGTTGCTTTATTTGCATAAATATTGCTTTCATTGAATACACAGTTTCTGCAGTTATGACATACAAAGATCATGTATAATCTACAGTATTTTGTGCATTGACAGCAGCAAATCAGTTTGATGATGCCGCCAAAGAAGAGACCATTACTTAAGAATGTAATGTGCATCTTCCACAATGGAACTGCATAGAAACAGATCAACCATTTTATATTCTGGGGGTAGGGGATGGTAGATGGGAGATGGGAGATGGGGGAGACTAGATTTTTTAAAAACTAAAACTGAGTCTAAATGAAAAACAATTCAAAACAATGTCTTTGAGGCAGACAATTTCTTATTTTATTTTAGCATTTTCTGGTACAATTTATATCTTTTTTGGTGTCAAATCCCAGGCCCCAACCCTCAGAATATCAAATGGTCGCTCCCTTACTGAATATGAATATGAAATATACACAAAACAAATTCACTGTTGTCATATGCTGATACATTTAAAAATCGCAGGATTCAAAACGTACGTGTCAAATCTGTCGATGAGTATTTTTATCAGTATGAAATAACATAATTCGACAGATGAGAGCCGTGTAAGTGTAAACACCATGATCTGAATCTAGGGTTGTAACGGTTTCACGTAACCAAGATACAATCTAACCAATAATTTGATATAAAAGAAATTCAAAGTGAACCACAATACCAGATCGTTAGTCCTTCTCAGTGCGTTTCTATGGTGTCAGTATATGATTAAAAACAATTAGAACTCAAAACCCTCAGACTTTTGTGCGATCGAAAAACAACAGCTGTTGTTAAGAGACAGTTATGATCCCATTGTACATATTAAATATGAGAATTTGCAAATCAAGGAAAAAACTGTGCCCTAAATATATACCACCAACTTGCTTCACATACACATTGTCGATGTTCAATTCACTTAAAACGTGGTGTGTAATAGCCGTGAATACATGTGTCTGTTTTCAATTTAAGTGTATCATATGATATTTAAAAATCAATTCACTGCTTATTACATTAATTTTCGATTTCTTGTTTCACGGCAATGGGGACTTTTCTCGAGTATTTTTTGTCAATTCCGTTCAGGATATGGCTGCGTTTTTAATCGTCATATTTCGTTTTCAATATGAAATCATTTTGTTAGTTTTTTACTGGTTATTTCACAATGCTAAATATGCAAACCATAATTCTATTTCATTCTGTTTCTGGAATAAAATCAATTACTACAAACTATGTCCATGTGTGTGAAGTGATTGTCAGATGTAATTACCTAATGAGAGTTATCGTCATACAGTGTCCAGATTGCTCGCGGTAATGAGAAAAGACCAGAAATTGAATTAATACTGAGACGATACTCCAGGGCCTGGTACCTATTTGCAGTGAATTTCTAGACGCCATAATTATGACTGAAATTGAAGCATTAACTCTATGTAATTAGTTACTCATGTGTATCAGATCATAAAACGTAAATCGAATGTTCTGTTTGAATGGCGTGATTTAAACTTACTAAGGTAGCATATTCATCCAAGCGTACATAAACTTCTGTGAAAGAATAATGCATAGCTGATGCTAGGTTTACATTCTAGCTGAAATGTTTCTTTTTGTCTTGGCCTATATCAGCCTCAATGAAGGAATAATGTACAGCTGATGCGTGTTTCTCCGTGTCTTAATCTATAGCTACATCTATGAAGGAATGATCTTCAGCTGATGCCAGGTTTACGTGCTAGGTGAAATGTCTCTCCGTGTCTTGATCCATAGCAACATCTATGAAGGAATGATCTTCAGCTGATGCAAGGTTTACGTGCTAGGTGAAATGTCTCTCCGTGTCTTGATCCATAGCAACATCTATGAAGGAATGATCTTCAGCTGATGCAAGGTTTACGTGCTAGGTGAAATGTCTCTCCGTGTCTTGATCCATAGCAACATCTATGAAGGAATGATCTTCAGCTGATGCAAGGTTTACGTGCTAGGTGAAATGTCTCTCCGTGTCTTGATCCATAGCAACATCTATGAAGGAATGATCTTCAGCTGATGCAAGGTTTACGTGCTAGGTGAAATGTCTCTCCGTGTCTTGATCCATAGCAACATCTATGAAGGAATGATCTTCAGCTGATGCCAGGTTTACGTGCTAGGTGAAATGTCTCTCCGTGTCTTGATCCATAGCAACATCTATGAAGGAATGATCTTCAGCTGATGCAAGGTTTACGTGCTAGGTGAAATGTCTCTCCGTGTCTTGATCCATAGCAACATCTATGAAGGAATGATCTTCAGCTGATGCAAGGTTTACGTGCTAGCTTAAACTCTCTTGGTCTTGGCCTGTATAACCCGTAATGAAGGAATAATGTACCGCTGGTGCTGGTGAAATGTCTTCCTCCTTCAATATCCAACGAATAATCCTGCATTGGTGTTTTACAGACCAAAGATGATAAAACACAATCACTGATCACTAAAAACAACAATCAAGCAGGTGGTGTCACTCAGTACAGACTGAGGTTACACGGATGATAACCTGATATCCTGTACTCTATATCAAACTTGATATTGACACACGCATCAAGTTAACACCGACTATCTTGACCACACATTCAATGGACACTATCTTGACGGTGGATTCAGTGGACACTGATAATCTTGACCACACATCTAGTGGACACTGACTATCTTGACCACAAATCCAGTGGACACTGACTATCTTGACCACACATCCAGTCTTCACTGACTATCTTGACGGGGTATCCAGTGGACACTGACTATCTTGACGGCGCATCCAGTGGACACTGACTATCTTGACCACACATCCAGTGGACACTGACTATCTTGACCACAAATCCAGTGGACACTGACTATCTTGACCACGCATCCAGTCTTCACTGACTATCTTGACGGGGTATCCAGTGGACACTGACTATCTTGACGGCGCATCCAGTGGACACTGAGTATCTTGACCACACATCCAGTGGACACTGACTATCTTGACGGCGCATCCAGTGGACACTGACTATCATGACGGCGCATCCAGTGGACACTGACTATCTTGACGGCGCATCCAGTGGACACTGACTATCTTGACGGCGCATCCAGTGGACACTGAGTATCTTGATCACACGTCCAGTGGACACTGAGTATCTTGACCACACATCCAGTGGACACTGACTATCGTGTCGGTGCATCCAGTGGACACTGACTATCTTGACGGGGGCATCCAGTGGACACTGACTATCTTGACGGCGCATCCAGTGGACACTGAGTATCTTGATCACACGTCCAGTGGACACTGAGTATCTTGACCACACGTCCAGTAGACACTGACTTACCCGACCACACATCCAGTTTTCACTGACTATCTTGACGGGGTATCCAGTGGACACTGACTATCTTGACGGCGCATCCAGTGGACACTGAGTATCTTGACCACACATCCAGTGGACACTGACTATCTTGACGGCGCATCCAGTGGACACTGACTATCTTGACCACACGTCCAGTGGACACTGACTATCTTGACCACACGTCCAGTAGACACTGAGTATCTTGACCACACATCCAGTGGACACTGACTATCTTGACTGGACATTACGCGACCAGTCACACGACTGATCAGAATCCTAGAATGCCCAGATAATGACTGATTAACTGTGCCTTTGAGCTGTGACTATATTATTTTATTGCCAATGACTGACCTTGTTTTTTCGGGGGCGGCTTTGTCATAAAGTAATTAAATGAATCATTCAATAATAATAAGAGTAGTAAGGCATTAGTCATTTCGATTATTTTCTCGTTAATTTCGAGAAATAGTTGAAATAACATGAAAATAATCAAAGCAACGAGAAAATACTCGAAACAACGTGAATAAACTCGTAATAACAATATAATCAAAATAACGAAAAAAATTCGAATCAACGAGAAAAAAAAAACTTTTTGAGATAACGAGAAAAAAACTTTTTGAGATAACGAGAAAAAAACTTTTTTTCGAGCAAATAAATGAAATTCGAGAAAATAATCGAAGTAACGAGAAAAAACTCGGGGCAACGAGAAAGAAATCGAAAATTCGATAATATCATATATCTCAGACATTAAGATGTGCATTGGCTTTAAAGAATAACGAGAGGGGTGTTTTATCTCGAAGCAGTGCGTCTGTTAGATTAAACGCCGCTTCAAATCGCATTTTAGTCATGTCATAGCGTCTGATCATGGCCGCGAAATGACCTCTGCAACATGATAGTTACATGACCTCTGCAACATGATAGTTACATGACCTCTGTAACATGGTAGCTAAATGAAATCTGCAACATGGTAGCTAAATGACCTAGCAACATGATCGCTATACAACCTCTGCAACATGGTAGCTAAATGACCTAGCAACATGATCGCTATACAACCTCTGTAACATGGTAGCTAAATGGCCTCTGCAACTTGGTAGCTAAATGACCTAGCTACATGATCGCTATACAACCTCTGCAACGTGGTAGCTAAAAGACATCTGCAACATGGTAGCTAAATGACCTAGGAACATGATCGCTATTCAACCTCTGTAACATGGTAGCTAAATGGCATCTGCAACATGGTAGCTAAATGACCTAGCAACATGATCGCTATACAACCTCTGCAACGTGGTAGCTTCATGACATCTGCAACACGGTAGCTAAATGACCTAGCAACATGATCGCTATACAACCTCTGTAACATGGTAGCTAAATGACATCTGCAACATGGTAGCTAAATGACCTAGCAACATGATCGCTATACAACCTCTGTAACGTGGTAGCTACATGACATCTGCAACATGGTAGCTTAATGACCTAGCAACATGATCGCTATACTACCTCTGCAACGTGGTAGCTACATGACATCTGCAACATGGTAGCTAAATGACCTAGCAACATGATCGCTATACAACCTCTGCAACGTGGTAGCTACATGACATCTGCAGCACGGTCACCATATGACCTAGCAACATGATCGCTGTACGATCCCTGCAACATGGTAGCTACATAACATCATGTGTATACCTATCCCCAGGCGTGAGATTTAGGGGAGAGTTTGGTTTTGGAGAGATGAGACGGGTCCAGGATGGACCTCTTACGCTCGCTAGGTCCTTGTATTGACCATGTCGGTCTGTGACATTCCTACCAGTGGGATCTTGTGATGTATTCGGCTATGTCGGTCATTTGTGAGAGAGAGGAAAGTGTAACTGTGATTTGAGTTAGAGTGATTCTGTGTCGTTGGATTCGAACTTGGAATGGAATACGTTTGTGACCATGATCCGGATTGTGCCCGACTGGAGAAGTTACTGCATCACTTTAAGTATTCACCTATTTTGTTTTGCCACGTTAGTTTGCCAGATTATACTTGTGTAACTATTGAGTAATTGTAGGTATTGGTAATAATTAAATATTCTGAATAGTGAAACTGAGTTGGGTCCTTCCTTTCTGTTTCTTGGGGCACTGTGTCACTAGGAACACCTGCAACACTGTCGCTATGTGACCTCTGCAAAATGGTTGTTATATAAGCACTTCAACAAGGTCGTTATATGACCTCTGAAACACTGTCGCTATATGACCTCTGCAACAAGGTCGTTATATGACATATGCAAGAAGGTCGCTATATGACCTCTGCAACAAGGTCGTTATATGACCTCTGTAACAAGGTCGCTGTACGAGACCTGCAACACGGTGCCAATGTGACCTCTTCAAACTGGTCGCGATACGACCATGAACAAATGCTTATGGTATGATCGGAATCGTACGATGGACTATGATTTCAGCAGGGATTTGTGTGAGTGGTTGTGCTACCGGTAGGATAAGCTTACCCTATCAAGAACACCTGGTGTCATCACTAGTTTTCAGGGGTCTGCAACAGTTTAACATGGATGTCCATCAACAGAACAATGACTCCAAGCCAACCAATCCTTGTTCATATCCCCTTAATCCAGTCCTTGTTTATAATCCCCTTAATGCCGAGCGTCAGGCAGGGTAACAACAAGTGGCATCTTTTAACGTCTTTTGGTATCAAAATCTGGTAATTTCTACTAGTCCAATGGATATTACCCTGATGGTAACTACTATAAAAATGTGCTGGTATGGAGAGAATTAGTGATGACTAGCAGCGCACATTCAGGAATAATAACAGGTCTGGGCATTGATAGGCCAATATGGCCCATGACCCAGTGTCCATAGTCGTGATATTAGACTGACTAAAGTTTACCAAAATCCTTGTGTGATTATCATGAT